ACGATCGAGCTGGGGTTCGGTCGGGCATGTCCTCCCACAGGCGCATTTGGACGGAAGCAGGAAATACTCAAAGCATAATGAATGATGGTCACCGGAAAGACCGCCTCCAGACTATTGTTTAACCAGTTTGGGGCATTCCTCTTGTAGAGGGACGCGCCCGACTTACAGCTGGGGGGGGGGAACCGCGGGGGCCTCCCACGGCTCGCTCGCGCCGCCCCTTGCCCCGCGGAGGGCTCTGCTGCGGCCTCCCTCCGCCGTGGGCATTGCGCTGGCTCCCGCTCCCCTCCTCCGGCTCCAGCCTCCCGCCTGCTTCTCCCCCTCTCCCTCCTCCTCCTCCTCCTCCCCCTCCTCCTCCTCCTCCTGCTCCCTCTCCTCCTCCTCCTCCCTCTCCTCCTCCTCCTCCTCCTCCTCCTCCTCCTCCTCCTCCTCCTCCTCCTCCACCTCCTCGTCCTCCTCCTCCTCCTCCTCCTTCTCCTCCTCCTCCTCCTCCTCCTCCCCCCCCCCTCCCCTGCAGCAGGGCTGGACCTAAACTCGGTATCGTTTAACCGATCCCCATCCCCATCCCCATCCCCTTCGAGACCCCCACCAAAGTTACCCCCCCCCCAGTTGGGGATACACCCCTCGAAACCCGAAGGGAGCGGCCTACATCCCCACCTAGGGGGGTCAGTCGACCAGTGGGGCCCAGGCCACGCCGCCGGGGATGGGGATCGGCTAAACAATGCTCAGCCAATTATCCTTCAGGGAGCAGCAGACACATCTGAAGGAATCGTGTATACACGCAGTGTCTTGCAGTCGATAGTTCCTTCCAGAGGACCGTGCTCTTGGTCATGGCTTTTGCCGATCGGCGCGGGCCCCCCCGGTGGGTCAGATCTTCGCGGTGTTTGGCGCCTGTCTCAAGCAGGTGGAGCCTGCCCCACCAGGACGCACTGCTGCAAATAGTCGCGTCCGGCAGGGGTCCGGAGCCAGACCCCCCCCCCCCTTCTCCCCTCTTTCCGCCCAGGATCAAAGAAGAGAAAAGGAAAAGAGAAAAGAGGAACAAATAAAAAAAATCAGGATCAAAGAAGAGAAAAAACCGCGTGAAGATAAACTTTTGGCGCTCCGCGCGGATTTCTGGGATCCGCGCCGGCGCCGCTCCTGGCCCGCTCCGCGCGCCAGGGAGGGGGTCCGGCGCGAATCCAAAGAAATCCGCGCGGAGCGCCAGACGTTGATGTGCATGTGGTTTTTTCTTCTAATAGCGTGTCCCCGGTGCCGCCGCCGCGACACGCTAAGTTCTCGCCCGCAGCGGTGTCCCCGGTTGGGGGGGGGGGCCCGAGGGCGGGTCGGGGCTTTGGCATCGCTCGGACGTGTGCATTTTTCCTTCGGCGAGGACCATCGAGGAGCATCCTTGACCAGTTGGCGAAAAAGCCACGCGCGAAACCGACAAAAACACAGAGAATGGACGTCCGAGCGATGGCCAGAGCGACGGGGGTGAGTGCAAACGTGGTCAGTCAGAGCGCCGGATCTTGCATGATCCTGCAGGGCCAGGGCTACATGGACCCAGGCTGGGGTGCAGGATCCTGCAGGATCCTGCAGGGCCTTGCAGGATCCTGCAAAGCCTGACTCACGCGGGACTGGATTGACCCAGGCCAGTAATTAGGTCCCCGATGCGGTGCGGCACGCTATTCTTTTCCCAATCGCCACGCGTCAACGTCCCGAGCGTCTCCCGGCCTCCCGCCCCGCAGAGCGGAGCGACACGCTATCACCTCGCAAGCCATAGCGTGTTCCCCGGGCCGCCGCCGCGACACGCTAAGCAAAAGTTCCCGACCGCAGCAGGTAAGGGGAGGGGGATGGCTTCTTGGAAGCGTCCCCGCTTCTTGGAGGGCGCGGGCCATCTCTGAAGGCGTAGGGCCGGTGCCTCCTAAGAATCAGCCTCTAAGCTTCTTCTTAAAAGCCTTCCCCCTTCCCCTACCCTCTTGTTCTAGGCCTCCTAGACGGGGTCGGAGTAGATGGGGTCGGAGGATCGCGCTGGCATCGCCGATGCATCGCCGATGCGGCTCGACGTGGAGCCCGATTTTCTCCGCGCTCCCGTCGCCTATGCATCGCCTATGATGTCGATGCATCGCCGATGCATCGCCGATGTATCGTCGATGCGGCGCGATCCTCTGACCCCATCTACTCCGACCCCTATCCAGGAGGCCTCTACTTGTGCGCGCCGCCAAGCAGTGCCCCTCCCTGGTGTTAAGTCGGGCCTGTCCCTCTGCAGGAGGAATACTCAAACACAGTCAAAAATAGTAGGGGGACCATTTTTTGCTTGTATGCTTGACCATTTGGGAGTATTTGCTTGACTAGTTTAAATCTTTTTCGCTGTTTTTTTGACTATTTTAAATTTTTTTCCGTCGAAAATCGGCCTGTAGGGGGACAGGCCCGACCTAACCCCGGTGGGGTGGGCCCCGAGGGCGGAACCCGGGCGCCAGGCAGCGACGGCTGGGGGCTGGGCCAGCTCCACGCTTGGGGCCGCGAG